TGCTGTATAGCTCGCAGGGTCATTGAGGCACGCAAGCCATCACACCACGTCAAGGTGTAGTCTCGTGATGGCTGCTGTCCACTGGTTACTCAAGCCATGGGGAACCATATAAAATCCCACCAGGATAGACGGCACCCCTAAATTCGGGTGTCTGCTGTAGAATTCTAAACTATTATTTCACTTCGGCTATTTGCTGTGATAGGATAAGTCAGTTTTACGGACGTCTCGAATCATACCGCGCAGATGCGCTTGAATCCAACTGCTATGTGGATTTTTTCTCCCGGGGTTAAATGGATCGCAATTGGTTGCGTAGTGCAACAGTACCGGACGCGTAGGCGAGTTGGGCGGATAATCCGCATCGCTATTGAATATCTGCTAGAAGCGTTTAGTCCAGCGCTCTTGTAACTGACGCTAAACTGTCCGCCATGCCACAGCAGTAACCAAAATTTGTTCAGAATACCTGAGTGTGGGTTGTCACAAAAATTACGGTTCTCTTCAGAAATAATACAATTCGGCAAACGGAATAATACCTAAACTTTGGCCGGTCGGGGAATCACAGTCAGGTCAAAAGCGTGCAACTAGGGCGCTTCCACAAGCTCCGCGATCGTCAGTGAATTTAAGAAGAAAGCGAAACACCACCATTGATTAGCGTGTTCAAAAACGGACAAAGAGAACCCGTCAAATCAAATAACAATTAGTCCTGGGAATTGGTTCGTAAAGGAAAGAAAAAGCAGTATGAGTCGGAAAGATTGATGAAGAGCACAAGCGACACACTAGAAAGTGAATGTATCGGGTTTAGCTCTGCACGGAAGGGTATGGAACCACATGTACTGGAACGAGGTTGAAGTTGACGCACAGCTCAAGTGGACCGGTAGAACACAAAAAACAAAGTAACCCGACTCAACGGGGACTGTTCATGTCAAATCCATCTTGGTGATGTTATCAACAATTACTTCTCTCGTCCTTGTGCTTAATGCAGCATGATGAAAAAGTTGCTTCCGACGCTACATTGAATCAGGATCGATTTCTGTGATTTCCACCTGATTAAGTTGCTTTCATCCGAAAGGAGTAGTAAGCCAGGGGATTTTCTAGATGCCCTTTATCAACCCTAACCAGAAAACTTGCTCACATATGTCGTGTTAGGCTTCCTGAATGGGGACTCCGGGTTCCTTGTAACCGGTGATTTGAGACACTGATTAATATGGCTGTGTCTCATGCATCTACTTTTTTATTACACAAAAATGAACACAGTAACAGGGTTCAATCCCATAATCTAAGGATATATTGTATATGAGAAGGTAATGGGAACATCCAAACTAGAACCTGGTAGTTGTTTCTGCGTTTAAAGACAAGGATCTCGGAAGTTGGACTGAAGACTGAAAGTGGGACATTGTTCCACAGTTGTGCTGTTTTGTGGTAAAAGATGACTGGAGGTTAGAAATGCGATACGTGTGAATGGTTACTTGAAATGGATGACTAGCCGGTTATGTGGGACCTATGAGGAGGAACATGTGGGAGAGGAACGGAGACGGTAACTTCACTAGATAAAAATTAAAAATATTATCGATCGAATATGGACAAGAAAGCGACCGCTCAACGGTTAGCTAGTGACTGCAATTTACATGGTAAAGATAGATCGTTGATGAGTCGAATGGCCTTACTTTGAACCCAGTCAAGAAGAGAAAAGCAAGTAGACGAAGCTCCACCCCACACACGACTGCAGTATTCAAGTGTGGGGCGAGTCAGAGGTTTGTAAAGCGGGAGGAGGTGAATGGCGGTGAAGAAACGTCTGACCCGAAAGAGGAGGCCGATTTTACGCACAACGCGAGAGACAAGTAGATAAATATGGGGTGACCATAAAATGGAAGAAGATATGGAATATCTCAATAGATGAAGCAGAGAATGTTCGGGTTAAAACTTAGTACAGAGGAGAAGGATTCGTGTCTAGAAGAAGCTGGTATAAGGGAAGTTCTACTGGCATTGAAGAGAACACGGTTGCGACAGCCCGAAGCAAAAATAAGGCCCAAATCAGGATTTAGAAATCCTGATTTGGGAGGGAGGAACGGTCATCGCTAATGATGGAGTCACCGATGGGTGAAGAGGAATAGGACAAAGTAAAGTGTACGGTAATATTCCAAGAAATCCGGTTACCTTCGTTTGGTTTAGCGAGGTGTAGCCGTTGTTGCATGCAGCTAAACTTGTGGGTCTTCAAGTGTGAGTTAGTCCAAACCGAAGGGTTCGAACCTCGGGCTATGGCTCACAGTCAAAAGAAATCCTGCCAGTTGATATCTTTCGAAATCTGGGTATCATTTCCTTGAGAAAAAATTCTTTTTACTTCGCATATAACTCACAATTACATCAAAAACCATGCACATACACCATACTCATTCGAACGCTGTTTTCTCTACTTTTTAATATCCTCCTCAGTGTTCCAACCAGCTGCTAACCACTGTATATGCGGTCTTCCCCTCCCCTCTCTCTTTTCAGGAAGCCGCAGATAAGTTCAGTATCAGTGGTATGCCCACGTTTCTGTTCATGAAACGCGGAAAAACGGTCGATACTGTCTTGGGTGCTAACTTGGTTGCATTGGAAAACAAAATTAAAGAACATGCTTCCTGAACTGAATGTGACATTCCCTTCAGATGTGTCGTGTTAACAACAGATCACAATATTTTATACCATTCCAACCATTCCTGTCCCACAGTTGATCTGCATAGTATGATCAACAAATCGGCCATTCTGGCGCTTTCCCTTTTGTTCTTAATAATAATAATTACCTTGTACTCTGCAATCGTAGACCCCCCCAGTTTAGCCGTTGGAGTTCGCGTACCACCACAATCACCTACGGACCGTGCAAAATGATGCTGTAGAATAATGTTTTCCAATTACGTTTACAATCGCGGGGTTGGGGAGTTTATTGATCAATCAGGTTGTGTCGCTGGTTTGCTTTGAGCCCTTATATATATTATTATATTTCACACTTACCTGAGGTCAGATTGTGTTCCAT